CCAGCCCTCACACAAATAAATTTAAAAAAATTTAAAAAAAAATTTATTTGCTACCACTTTTGCTCATCTACTTTCCAGCTCGGATTTAGGCTCCTTAGTGGCCAGGGCTTTTGTCAGACCAGTAGACTTGAAACGTGGGCCTTGAGGGCTTCACAGCTTCTTTTGCACTTCAGGATGCTTACACTCTAATGATTCTGTGAGTTGAATGTTTACAACAACCCTGTGAGATTCACTTATTTATTCCCACCTAACAGATAAGAAAACTGAGGCCTTGGGAAATGGAGGAATTTGTCCAAGGTCACAAAGAAATGTGACACACGTCACTTAGGACGTAGAGTGCTTATGACAGTGCCCGGCACATGGGAGACCTGTACTATATGTAAGTGTCAGCTATTCCCTTGTGTAATCTTCATGACCAGCCTGTTATCGGATCCTCTTTACAGATGGAAAACAAGTCCTGAGATGAAGCCCAGGTGAGTGCAGAGCCCTAGTGTGGTGCCAGATGTGACACCCAGTGTGTGCTCAGTAAGTGTACACTGAGTGGATCCGTGAGTATATGTGGGCTACCAAGAAGTGGAACCACAAATATTACACAGACAAATGGAGGATGCCAAGCCTGGGACCCAGATGTCATTCTCAGGGGCACGGGGAAGCTTAGGAATGTGATCCAGCCAATGGCTGTCTGTCTGAGCCACCTCCCCAAGAATCCTGGTCCTAAATCTTGCTCTTCAGGTGAGCCACCTGTGCCTGGCCTGGGCACACAACTCCAGAGGCACAGCAGGGTCACACTACCACCACTCCCAGACTCAGCTACCGCGTTTTGGGCTGGAAGCACTCTGTGCCACCAAAGTACAACATAATAAATACAGCGTCCATTTACCGACCTCAAAATATTTACAGGCACCCATCCTGCCATGTTCTGAGTATTGGGGACCCAAGAACAAAACAGAAATTTATATTCTGACGTCATAGCTTTAAACGCTGGTTCAATATCTTTATCACTTATTTACAATGGAAGAGACTGAGGCACGGAGTGACCTTGAGGGTTTGGTGAAGATCACTGTGACCAACAGCAGCAGCAGAACCCTGGCAACTTGCCCCTCCTGAAGCTTTCCTTCAGCTTGAGAGACAACAGGTTCAGGTCCTACTGGGAAAGTAAGATGGGGCCTCAGTGTCCCGATTTGCTCAATGGGTCAGACATGAACGGCCTTTAGCA